CACACAGAGAGAGAGAGAGAGAGAGAGAGAGAGAGAGAGAGAGAGAGAGAGAGAGAGAGAGAGAGAGGGAACGTGGAGATGTCGTTCATTTTGGGAAGCCAGCTGTCCTCTCCGAAGAAGGTGCAAATTGCGCTGACTCAGATTTATGGAATAGGTCGGAGCAAAGCTTCGATGATATGCAGCCAGCTTGGCATCAGTAACGACATCAAGCTTCAGCAATTAACTAAGTCCCAGATCGAACAGATAATCACCATCATCAATCATCATCATCTGGTGGACTCGGAGCTGAAGAGGTTGGTGAAGGAGGACATCAAGCGGTTAATTAGTATCGGCTGTTTTAGAGGATTCGAGCATGTCAAAAAGTAGTAGATGGGATTTAAAAAAAAGAAAAAAGAAAAAAAAAGTTGAAAAAAAGTAGAGGGGATTAAAAAAAAAAAAAAAAAAGTAGATGGGATGGATAGGTAGGTGTATAACCCTAAAAAAAAGAGTGCCCCCCCTACTCACACACATGGGTATTGCCGGACGTATTTGATCGTAATTACGGCCCAACTTTTCACTGGCAAACACAGACCACAACCATCAATCACAAGAAAGCGAATCTTTCTTTCTTTTTCTTTCTTTCCTTTTCTTTTTTTTGTGGAAGAAAGCGAATCTACTTCAGGCAAGAATGAAACGGACCCAAAAAAAAAAAAAAAAAAAAAAAAAAAGAAAAAAAAAAAAAGAATGAAACGGACATAAGAAGGGTAAAAAAAAATATATGAAAAGGATTCATGTCATGAATTTGACCTCCAAAAAAAATGGGTGAGGGAGGGGAAAGAGAAATGGGTGAACGATACGAATCGACGGCCGGGATCATCCTGCGGCAACTCCCCTCCGTTCAATCGACGGCCGGGTTAGGGGGAGGGGGAGGCGGGAGGGGAGCGGAGGGGAGGGAGCGGGGGGGGGAGGGTACAGGGGAATAGAGAGTGCGATGATGATTAGTGAGACAAAAAAAGAGTGTGAACAGAGCGCGACACGTGGCTGGACTTCGGAGTGTTTACACTCGCGTGAGGATTGGTTGCTGTTGGAATTTGCAGTCCAGGCTTTACTTTACTAGATTGCACCGAACGAAATTCACCCTGATCGTGAATGTATGTCAGCTGTCTTTCCGCTCCGATACAGTCGGGATAGGAGTGCGTTGTGTTCGGGGTAAGATGGTAATGTTCCGCTCCTATTCGTTTCTGCGTTAATCGCGGGCGATGGCAGCTGAGTGGCAAAGTCGTCGTTTCTGCGTTAATGGCGGGCGACATGGAATTGATAGAGCTCCACCTCGACGATGGAACCACATGGGGAGCATGGGGACTACGTGGTCCACACTGTCCACGTGGACCACGTGGACCATTTGGACAGTGGAACGATGTGTGGACCACGTGGACCAAACGTGGACAGTGTGGACCACGTGGACCAAACGTGGACAGTGTGGACCACGTGGACGGTGGAATACTCTGGGCGGAGTTGACGTTTGCAACAAATTGTAGACATGGTGAATTGGCCGCGATGGGCGAGCGGGATCGGGATGTGAAGAGAAGAGATCCCGTTCAGATCGGGAAAAACGATATAGCGGCTGGTGCGGCAGTTGGGTCCATTCAAGCTGACAACGTTATCCGGTTATGGTGGCTTGCTGTTGGGGAATCCCTAGCGGAGGAGGAGGAGGAGGAGGAGGAGGAGGAGGAGGATTACTGGCGAAAAATTCGGTGGAGTGGCTATGGCGGGAATATGCCATGGACCGAACATGATGGAGCGGGAACGGGAAGACGAAATGGAGTGGATATGGCGGAAAGCAATGGAGCAGCCGGCTATGGCGGAAAGATGGAGGAACAGTAACCGGCTATGGCGGAAAAAAGGAGGAAGAGGAACCGGCTCTGGCGAAAAGGAGGAAGAGGAACCGGCTATGGCGGAAGCATGGAAGTATAGCAACCGGGTATGCTGGAAGAAAGGAGGAAGAGGAACCGGCTATGACGGAAGAAAGGAGGAAGAGGAACCGGCTATGGCGGAAGAAAGGATGAAGAGGAAGCGGTAACGTTCCTATGCAATTCCCTTCGACGTATCGGGTCGTGAATCGGGACTAGATCCGTTGCTTCTCTTCGGTCTATCGGGTCGCGAATCCGTGGCTGAGGTATGTGCTTACGTTCCTATGCAATTCCCAACCTCTTAAAAAAAAATAAAAATCCTTATTAATATAATTAATAATCATCAATTTAATTTTAATTGACGCTAAATTGAAGGGATAATGAATATTGTAAACAAGGGGATGAAAAGATTTTTTTTAGGCTACCGAATTTTAACTCCACGTATACAATTATAAATTATAATAATATATAGCAATACCTATCTGCCTTAACTTGCCCCCCTACCCCCCCCCCGCCCTTCTTCCCCTTCTCCCCAAGAAAAGAACGCATGGGGTAATGACCTGCCATTAAATCTGGTGTCTGAATTTCACCTTTTTTTTTTTTTTTTTTCAAATGATTATACATACATATGTAGCGTATAAAAATGAAGACAGCCAAAGTAGTCGTTCAAAATCCAGAGGTGAAGAGTCCGAATCCATCCATCCATCCATCCGTCCAATCCAGATGCCTTTGGAGCCGGTAATCCGTCCATCCATCCATTCATCCTCACCTCGTGCTGTGTGCGAATAGCGATGGCCGGGGGGGGGGGGGGGGGGGGGGGGCCGGGGCGGTCGTAATCCCTCTAGCGAAGAGGATTGGATTTATCCGCTGAATATGGACGTGTTTGTGGAGAGATACATAAAATCGCGATAGAACTGCTTTTCTTCATCTCCCCATAAATCACATTCAGATTTAGGGGCTAATCCAGTCCTTTTTGGCTAGTAGGACTGCATTTTTTGTTTTTGTTTTCAGGCTGAGGTATAGGATGGCCCTAAACCGGTCATCATTTTATAATACGCATTTTTACCGGTGTCTTTTATTCTTATATTCTTATTGTTGCTACAATAATAGATATTGTTCGATCCGATTACCATGGCTATAAGGCAAACATGTAAATATATAAATATAAATATAAACAATGTAAATAAAAATATATATCTAAACTAGGCTACCAGAGTGGCCCGGGACCACTTGCCCGGCCGGGCCAAAAAAAAACTAAAAAAATATTTTTTAATTAATTTTATTTTAAATTTGGTAAAGAATTTTGATTTCCCGGGCGGCCCGGCTGGTAGCCTAGTATTGCATGTGGGACTTGTCATCTGGGATCTGTTTTGTTTTTATTTGGCTGTTCCCTTCCTCTCTTCTTTGCCTCTTTGCCTCTTTGCTGTGTGCAAGTGGGTCGATATGACACACGGGGGTGGTTGGGGCAGCCGCCGCTCAACCTACATCCACGTGGGCGTCCTTGTACGCAAAAGAGGTTCTTTCGGAACAGGGGGAGTTGTAAGGAAGAAGATATATAAAAAAATGAATTGATTTTTTTTTTTTTGTTTTCTTTTTTTTTTTTCGCTTTTGCGCTCTGATATTTATGTGACGATATATATTATTTTACGTGTATGATGTATATATATTTTCGGACGGATGATTAAGGTATACTCTCACGGGAGGCCTCCGTTCGCTCTTCTCAAATCTGGAAGGGGGGGGGCAGGGGGGTAGACACAAAAAAAAAAAAAAAAAAAAAAAAAAAAGCGTAGTCATGCCACGTGTGGGTTCGCACAGCCTTACCGAATGTAAAGGTAATCCCGTCTTACCCCCGAATACAAAGTAACCTCGTTATGGCTGTACTGAACCGGAAAGATGGCTTGTATACATTTCTTATCACAATTTATCCGGATGCGTTGTGTTCGGGTGAAGATGGTAGGTTTCTTCGAAACAGCCTCGTTATGGCTGTACCGAACCGTAAAGATGGCTTGTATACATTCATTATCGAAATTTATCAGGATGCCTTGTGTTCGGGGGAAGACGGAAGGTGCTTCGGAACAGCCCTCTGGGAAAAAACCCTCCTTTTCGTTTTTATTTTTATTTTTATTTTTATTTTTATTTTTATTTTTTTAAATGCTGTGATGTGTATCCCCTTCCCCCGCCGCCAATGGTACGAACACATTCGAATTTTGTTGAGAGCACTCGTTGGTAGGTGAGCGTGTACACATACTACATTTCCGGTCCGATACATGTGACGTGTGCCGATTCTCTGCCGGAATGGAATGGTACACGTGTGTACACATACTACATTTCCGGTCCGATACATGTGACGTGTGCCGATTCTCCGGCGGAATGGAATGGTACACGTGTCAACAGGCTAATGGATCGAATCCAGTCTGCGGAAAATAATGCGACCGTCGGCATTTTGTTTATTTTATTTTTTATTTTATATGTCTCTGCTTATGGCAATTGCACTTGCAGACTACAACTTCATAGACAGGAGGGGAGAGAGACCAACACGTGGTGGTGGGTTGCAGATATGCATGCATGGCTAGCAGCGTCGAGCCCGAATCTGGACGTGTTTGTGGAGATGTGTGGAGTATAACGCCCGAATCTGGACGGGTTTGTGGTGATGTGCGGTTGAGGAAACTTCACGCACACGCGATCTTCTGCACCTATTCACAAACACGTCCAGATTCGGGCGTTGAGGAAACTGAACGCTGCTAGTGGGACTTGTGCCCTGTGAACAGACTCTTCTCACACTGACTGGCTTCTCTTCCCTCAAAGAACTGAAATAATAATTCATTAATTGTCAGATAATTAATTATTTTATTAATCATTTTCTAATCGAAAGTTTGAATAGCTGGGCCCATAATGAGAAGTGAAAGTAAGCCCCGTATCCAGCGACCTAGCTCAGTTGGTAAGGCACGCAAGTGGCATTCAGGAGGTCTTGGGTTCAATCCCCATTGGCCTTATGCACCTTCCTGGGCAAGCTTGGCGCCTGCCACCTAGAGATATGCCGTTGGTCCCCCCGAGTGGCATTGAGCAGAGACTGCCGATGTTCATAGGGGGAGGGGACCGGAGGGGAGGCAGAGTGACTGACCCATCGAAGAAGCTCGGTCCTGATGCTACCGGCTGACCCCTGGCCGGTATCGCCCACCTGCTCTAGCAGGTATCGCACCTGCTGGTGGGTGGGTGCAGCTCCCGCATGTTCCCTCGTTGGAGGCTTGAGCACAGATGTGGCTGCTACCCGGGGGGGTCCCCGTAATACTATAGTGAACAATAAAAAAGTCCTGAAAGGCCGTCCTGTCCAGATTTGACAGGTAATTCAATTGGTTGGGCTTCAAGGAATTAGCCTTTAAAAAAAAAAAAAAAAAAAAGTAAGCCCCGTGGTACTTTAGTAGCAGCAGGAGCAGCTTAAGGGGCCCCATCTCTGGTGTCTGAGGCGGTATACTGGTGGTGGGTGGGTGGGTGGGTGGGTGGTAATAGGTCTCCACCATAACTAGACGATCAGTGATGTACTGCCTGGTCTGGATGTACGACATACTGAGAAAGGCCAATCACTGTAGGGCTGTGCGTAGTGGTGGGCACGAATGGGACTCGGTATATATATATGTACCGGAGGGCCCAAATGGGACTCGGGATATAGTGGAGAGCCCTCCACTGGGCCCGCCATGGGGCCCTGTACTGGCCCCTCCTCTGGGCGTGCACTGGGCCCTGCACTGGGCACTCCCCTCTAGGCCCTATGCATATAGTGGAGGACCTTCCACTCGGGTCCAGAGGAGGATGCATAGTGGGGGCCTCCACTGGGCCCCCCACTGGGCCCTCCATTGGGCCCTCCATGTGCCTTCCTCTAGGCCCTCCACTGGGCCCTCGATATCACCTATCGCTGCATAGTGGAGAGGTTGGAGGCCATCCGCGTAGCGGAGGGCTGTCCACTGGGCCCTCCGCCGGGCCCAGAGGAGGATGTATGATGGAGGGCCCTCAATGGGCCCACCAATCAGCTTTGGCTGTAGAGTGGAGCGTCCAGAGGCCCTCTGCTTAGTTTCATGGGCCCTCCTCTAGGCCCAGAGGCGGATGTCCCGTAGATGGCCATCCTGCAGAACTAAAGGAGGGTGCCAGTAGAGGAGGGCCCTCCACTGGGCCCTCCACTGGGCCGTACTCTGGGCGCAGAGGAGGATGCGCTGTCTAGCGCCCTCCTGTTGGGACGTCCATATGACATGTGGCAATGCCGTTGACGGCCTGTAGGGCCTCTGCGTCATGCAGTGCAGGTCCCCTCTGCTCACTGGGCTCTAGTGGGACTTGTGCCCTGTGAACAGACTCTTCTCACACTGACTGGCTTCTCTTCCCTCAGAGAACTGAAATAATAATTCATTAATTGTCAGATAATTAATTATTTTATTAATCATTTTCTAATCGAAAGTTTGAATATCTGGGCCCATAATTAGAAGTGAAAGTAAGCCCCGTGGTACTTGAGCAGCAGCTGGAGCAGCTTAAGGGGCCCCATCTCTGGTGTCTGAGGCGGTATACTGGTGGTGGGTGGGTGGGTGGGTGCGTGGTAAGTAAAAGGCCTCCACCATAACTAGACGATCGGCGATGTACTGCCGTGTCTGGATGTACGACATACTGAGAAAGGCCGGGCCCAAATGGGACGCGGGATATAGTGGAGAGCCCTCCACTGGGCCCGCCATGGGGCCCTGTACTGGCCCTCCTCTGGGCGTGCACTGCGCCCTGCACTGGGCCGTCCCCGCTAGGCCCTATGCATATAGTGGAGGACCTTCCACTCGGGTCCAGAGGAGGATGCATAGCGGGGGCCTCCACTGGGCCCCCCACTGGGCCCTCCACTGGGCCCTCCACGTGCCTTCCTCTGGGCCCTCCACTGGGCCCTCGATATTACCAATGGCTGCATAGTGGAGAGGTTGGAGGGCATCTGCGTAGCGGAGGGCTGTCCACTGGGCCCTCCGCTGGGCCCAGAGGAGGATGTATGATGGAGGGCCCTCAATGGGCCCACCATATCAGCTTTGGCTGTAGAGTGGAGCGTCCAGAGGCCCTCTGCTTAGTTTCATGGGCCCTCCTCTAGGCCCAGAGGCGGATGTCCCGTAGACGGCCATCCTGCTGAACTAAAGGAGGGTGCCAGTAGAGGAGGGCCCTCCACTGGGCCATACTCTGGGCGCAGAGGAGGATGCACTGTCTAGCCGTCCATATGACATGCGGCAATTCCATGGACAGCCCGTAGGGCCTCTGCGTCATGCAGTGCAGGTCCCCTCTGCTCACTAGGCTCTCTCTACACTACATTAGGTCCAGAGGAGCATGCCTAACCCAGAGTGGAGGGTCTGGAGGGCATAGAGGAACGCTCTCTAGGCATCGATGTCCCCATTCCG